ACAGAGGTGGACACATGATATTCCTTAAAAACAAAATCCTGATTCATTCACATTCCCTGTTGTTTACTGGAGGTGTTGTGTTTTTTTTTTTTTCCCTACCTCCAGGTCTATTTCAAGTTTGACAGGTTTGTGGGGAGAGTAGAGGTGGGGCTCAAAGCCAACTGGGAGCAAAAGAGACCAATGGGGCAAGAAAGGGGCCCTCCTTCCGACAGGACCTGGAAAGGTATGGGACTGATCAGCTGAAAGCTCTGGGTAATTCCCCTTTCTTCTCTGGGCCTCAGTCCAGGCTCTGGCTTCAGCCTCTTGGGCCCTCCCTTTCAAAATAAAGTGTTCTTCACCTTTGGGTTCCTGTTTCCAAAAAGTACTGTGGGGTGGGGTGGGGCGGGGCGGGGCAGCCCTCCAGGGAGGCAGCTTGGCAGAAGCCACTTCCTGACAAAGGTCTGAGTCAGGGTGGTAGGTGACACTCTCTGTTCTGGAGAGACAGGCTCAGTAGGTGGGCAGCAGAGAACCATCCCCTCCCTGCTCAGATCTGTGTCATCTAAACTTGCACTGTCCACCAAAGAAAGGGGTTGAGAGCCTGCTGGGTATACAGCATTGAAATCTTAGGAAAAGAGCAGAGACAAGCCAACCCCCACCACAGTCTTGCAGCATTGAGAAAGTTATACCACAGAAAAAATATAAAAGATATATATTTCAATAGGAAAGCAAGAAGAAAAGAATTTAAAAAACACAAATAGAGTGGAACACCAATGACGCAGGCCTGTAATCCTAGCTATTCAAGAGGCTGAGATTAGAGGTGAAGATGGAGTTTCGAAGTCAGGCTAGGCAGAAAAGTCCATGATATTGATTTCTCTCTCTCTCTCTCCCTTCCCCCTCCCTCCCCTTCTGCCCCCTTCTATATATGGCTAGCATTCTACCACTTAAGACGCACGCACACACACACACACACACACACACACACACACACATACACACACTTTTTTTTTGGGTCCGGTCCTGAGGCCTGAATTTTGGGCCTGGGCGCTGTCCCTAAGCTCTTCAGCTCAAGGCTAGCACTCTACCACTTGAGCCACAGTGCCACTTCCGGCTTTTTTCTTTTTGCTTATGTGGTGCTGAGGAATCGAACTCAGGGCCTCAGGCATGCAAGGCAAGTACTCTACCACTGAGTCACCTTTCCAGCCCCACACACACTTTTTTACATAGAATTTTTTGTGTTCTTGTGGTGCTAAAGTTTGAACCCAACACTTTACATAGGCTAGGCATTCTCAAATTGAGTTATGGGTTGAAGGTGTGGATCAAGTGGTAGAGTACCAGGCAATGAGAGAGAGCAAGGGTCAGATATCACGTTCAAGTCCTGGTCTCTGACAAAAGAAAAGAAGAAAGGAAGAGAGAAAGAAGGAAAGGAAGGAAGGAAATGGAGTTATATCCTGCCCTATTCTTCTTTTTCATTTTCTCTCTTTTTTTTTTTTTTTGTCCATCATGGGGCCTGAACTCTGGGTCTAGGCACTGTCCCTCAGCTCTTCAGCTCAAGGCAAGCGCTCTGCCACTTGAGCCACAGTACCATTTCCAGTTTTCTGGTGGTTAATTGGAGATAATAGTCCCACAGACTTTCCTGCCTGGGCTGGCTTTGAACCATGATCCTTAAATCTTAGCTCCTTGAGTAGATAGTCTTACAGGCATCAGCTATTGATGCACAGCTTCTTTTTTTTGTCAGTAAAAAACTTTATTAAACCAAGCACTGATGGCTCTTATCTTTAATCCTAGCTATTCAGGAGGTTTAGATCTGAGGATGGAGATTTGAAGCTAATGGGTCAGGAAAATCCTGGGACTCTTTTCTCTTAATTAACCACCAAAAAACTGAAAGTAGAGTTATAGCTCAAGTGGTAGAGTGTGCCATCCTTGAGGGGAAAAGCTAAGGAAGAGAGCCTAAGCCCTGAATTCAAGCCCCAGAACCAACACACATATAAACAAAAAACCAACTTTATATTGAAGTATAATTGATATATAACTGGGTATGGTGGAACACCTGTAATCCCAGAACATGGAAGGTAGTGGAACAAAGGATCACAAGTTTGAGGCTAAATTGGGCTACATAGAGAGTTCCAGCCAAGCCTGGGCTACATAGAAAGACTCTATCTGAAAAATAACAAGGGCTGGAGATGTAGCTCAGTGGCAGAGTGCTTGCCTAGCAGTTCAATCTCCTGTACTACAAAACAAAAAAAGCATAATCAATAAAATGCATTGATTTTTAAGTGTACTGTTCAGTAAGTTTGAAAACATGTGTGCTCCTACCATCCACAGCAACAGGTCATTTCCAGTGGCTCATACCTGCAATCCTAGTTATTCAGAGGATAAGATCTAAGGATCATGGTTTGAAACCAGCTGGGCAGGAATGTCCATGAAATCCTTATCACTATAACCACTAAAAAGTTAACCACCAAAAAGCCAGAAATGGAGCTTGCTTTGTCTCAAGTGACAGAGAGCCAGCCTTGAGCAAAATAACTCCCAAAATACAAAACAAAACAAAACAATCCCCCCCCCAAAAAAAAAACCTAAGGGAAAACAGTCCCTGAGTTCAAACCCCAGCACAAGAATTACCTCTAGATTTCTTTTGTAGGTGAGATTTTTTTTTTTGCGGGGGGGGGGGGGGGTCAGTTGTGGGTGGGGCTTGAGCTCAGGGCCTGGGTGCTGTTCCTGAGCAATTTTTGAGCAGCAGCTCCACTTCTGGTTTTTGTGTGGTTAATTGGAGGTAAGCACCTCACCGGTACTTTTTTGCCCAGGCTGGCTTCAAACCTAGATCTTCAGATCTCAGCCTCCTCAGCAGGTAGGATTATGGACATGACCCATCAGCGCTCAGCTCCCAGAAAATATTTTGTGTGCATTATTTGGTTGTAAGTTTGGGCTAGCTATTCACATGTGTGAACAGCACCCTACAGTTTTCAGTTCCTTTCTGCTTTTGAGGCCACAGATGCACACTAGAATTGAATGACACTTGATAGATGTCCTAAGTTAAGAAGGAATCCCTGGCATGCTGGGAAGTTTGTGGGTGTTTCAGACTCAGGGAACTGGGTATACCATAATAGCTAGGGAAAGGTTCCTGTGGCCCTTACCTGTCCTCCACCTAGCTCAAGTCTAGCCTAGCTGAGGAGACACCAGTGTGCAGGGTCCAGATGAGAGCTCTAATCGCTCCTTGGGTAGAGCAGGCCTTTCTAATTTCTGTATTTGGGATGTAGAAAAACAAAAGCAGGTTACCAGCATCATTTGCTTCTTGTTGCTAGGAGACCATGACATGGCTGTCAGGAATCTTGACCTATAGATCAGTTTGCCTTGGCCTTGCTGTGAGTCTTTGACAAGCTACTACTTTCCCTCTCTGGGCCACCTCTGTTACAAGGAAACTCGTAATCCCTGCAGGTTTAACTTCAACTCTACCTGGTGAGTCTTCTGGCTGAATATACTCAGTTCTTCAGAGGCCAGGGGTGCGGACCCCACTCCCTAGAATGCTGTACCCTCCGCTGTCACAGTTCTTGTTTTTCAGCCTTTAGTTCCAGTACTACCTCAAAACAGAATGTTCTGCTTCTCTAGGTGCTAGAGGGCAGGGACTGTGATAAATAATAGAAGGATGATCCTGTTAATGGAGAGATGACAGGCCATATGTCAGGTACTGTGGTAGGCCCTTTGCTATCAATCTGAATCCTCCCAGTGAAGCATTATTATTCTCATTTGACAAATGAGGAAACTGAGGCTCAAAGAGTCGTGCCCCCTTGTCCAGGGGCAGTGCACAGAGGGTAGGGCAGATTAGGTCCCTTCACCCCCCCCTCCCCCACAGCATCTTAATGAATGGTAAATGGTGTCTAGTTGCTGGATGACAGGTGAGTGACTGAACGCATGACTAAGGGCCTATATCAACTCAGCTTTCCAAATCTACCTCCAAGGGTGGAGACAAGCGGCAGGCCGTCTGTATTGGTAACTGTCTGGTCCTCATTTGCTGCCTTAGATCTCAGTTACAGCAAGAGCCACCCACAACTGGGTGGAATGTACAACGTGGGAAATGGCCAGGCACCCGGGATAGGCAAGCTGCAACTGCATCGTTCCTGTGAAAACTCAAGACAGATCTGCGCATTAGCAGCCTGGAAAGGTCTCTGCGCTCCAATCTGGAATTTGTGGGGAAAGGTCTCCGTTTGTTAATTTGTCTCCTCTACCAGCTTGGGAGATCCTGAAAGTGAAAGTCAGTGACCTACCCATGCCCAGCCCCACTGGCTGAGCACTCAAAGTCCATCTAGGTGCCTTGGCTTTTCATTGCCATCGTCTTTTCCAAACTGTACAGGGCTATTACGTTTTCCATCCCTAACTTGCTCTGTCCCACAAGCCGCTTCCTGGGTGAGATGTTCAGTGCTGGGCCTGAGGGCTGCCCGACTGGCATTGGGAGCCCGGTGGTATCTTTGGGACCAACACCACCCCCCCCAATCTCCCTCTCCTATTTGCAGACACTCCTCCCCCTACGCCTTTAGCTATTGTGCAAGAACTGCCGGCACACCTTCTGGGCAGGTCGGATCAAAGCCCAGAAACTTCCTGAGTGCGGGTGGCGGCGGCCCTGGGGGCTGGGGGGGGGGGGTAGGGGCAGGGGCAGGGGCCGGGGGAGGCAGGGGCGCGGCACTGAAGCCCAATGCTGGCATTTGGCGGAGGCTATCTTTCCAGGCCTCTACATCTTCAGCACGAGGAGGGAGGGGAAACATCCAGCCCTAGAGCCCCCGATCTTTCAGATGTCCCCCACCGGACCGTTCTTCACTTTGGTTCGGGTCCAGGGCGCGTCTCTCTGGGTCTCCCTTTTTCCCCTAGACGGTCTCTTTGTCTGGGTCTCCCGCAGGTCCCGACGTCCCCGGCCCGCGAGCCCCGCCCTGCGGCCGCGAGGAAGGGGCGTGGCCCAAGCCCGAAGAGGGCGGGGCCTGAGCCGGGGGCGGGGCGGGGTGCGGCTGCTGGGCCTGGGCTGGCGGGCGCAGGAGGCTGGGGCGGCCGGCGCGAGGTACACGGCTGGGGCCGGAGCTGAGCAGGAGAGGAGGCCGCGGCCAGGGGCGGCGGAGCAGCAGGAGCCGGGCGGGCCGGGCTCCATGGCGCCAGCAGCGTCGGTCTGAGCAGCGCGGGTAGCGGCGGGCGGATCGGGCCGCGGCTCCTCCTCGTCATGGGGGACGTGCTGTCCACTCACCTGGACGACGCTCGGCGCCAGCACATCGCAGGTGAGGACGGCGTCGCGCAGCGCCCGCCGGGGGCTCCGCCGAGAGCCCCGGCCACGCCCCCGTGGGCCCGGGGTCCTCGGCGTCCCCTCAGCCAGGCGGGCGGGAGCTGCTGAGGACCGTGGTCTTGAGTCCGGGCGCCCCCTTCCTGCCCCCTTCTGAGCTGCCCCTTTCCCTCCCTGAGAAGACTCGGGACCCCCTTCTTTCCTACCGGAACCCTCTCGGATCGATTCCCGGACCTTTTACCCAAGTCCAGTGTCGGAGGGGTCACAGCCCGCACCCCCCCCCCCATCCTGCCCAGCCGCGTTCCAAGGCGCCCTCCACCCTCCCTGCAATCTGACCCACACAGCCAGCGCTCCCTGACCTCCCCCCCTTGCTGTCCGTCCCCGCCCTGGCCCCAGCCCCCTCCCCCGTCCACGTGGCCGAAACTGAAGGGCTGGGAACTGGCCCTGGGTAGTGAGGCTGGGGATTCTTGGGGTTCACTGGAGTGGGCGGGGTGTCATTCCTCTGGCTCAGACTCAGCAAGGCTCTCTTGCTAGCCGCAGAAGCCAGGGGGCTGGTCAAGGCCAGAGCCCCCCCACTCTCTGCTAGTCCCCAGTTTCCCAAGTACCTTCCTTTCGTCAGCCCTCCTCTCCATCTGTCACTACTAGGGAGCTTGCCCCTAGACTCCTGGGGAAGTCTAGGGCTGAGCAGGGTCCTGGGGTCCTTCAGGAGGATAGGAGAATGTTGTTCTAGCTGATCTGCACTGGTAGGACAGGCAAGGCAGGGCAGGGCAGGGCAGGGCAGGGCTCTGGGCTGAATCCTAGCAGCTGCTCAGCTGTGTGTTCTTGGACAAGTCTTTTAAAGTCCTTGATTTTCTCCTCATTGAAATGGAGTCAGTGATACCCTCTTATGGATGGGTGTGATAGAGTGATACCCTCTTATGGATGGGTGTGATAGAGTGGGAGCTGGTCTGGTGGGTTGCAAGACAGATATAAAGAGGAGATCGTTTCTATTGGCTTTATTTACCTTGCTTCCTTCCAAGCCCAGATTTTGTGACTCCCTTATGCTTATTCTTGCCCTGTAAAGGTTTTATCACTGTTCCCATGTTCCTTTGATAACAAGAACCCCTTGAGAGTACAGACCAGGTGTCCCCTAAACTCTGTCCTCCAGGGTCCCACCATGGGTGGGCACAAGCAGGTACCAGGGAGGTCCTGCCTAGGGCTGTGGTTTTCAGTTGGTGGCCTGAACTCACCCTTGTGCTAGGTCTGAGGCTAGATTCAGGGGTTGGAGTGATACAGAAACGAATCAGACCCTATGTAGTCTCTGACCAGCTGCATTAAGACTGGAAGGCCTTCTTGTAGGACTAAGCCTGGACTCTGGGAGGAAGGGCTGGGCGGTGCCTTCCTGTCCCCTCCCTGTTGGTGGCAACCTCCTGGGGCTCTGTAACAGTCCCTCCATTCATAGCCTCCTGTTGGGGGCCCCTCACAGTCCTGGGTGGAGTGGGCCAGTCCTTCGGTGGGTTTTTTCCTCTTCCCATACCCAGCCCTGCCTCTCCCACCTTCTTAACTCTTGGTCTGAAAACTGCCACCCCTACCTCCCTGGCCACTTACAGGGGTGGAGACTGAGCCCTTGAAGTTGAAGTGTTCTCCGTTGGGTTTGTTGTGTGGATACCAGGCTGGCAAGAAGAGGGTTGAACCCACACCTAGTCTGCCTAGCCTGCTAGCCTCTCTTCCCAACACTTTGCTGCTATTAATAACCCTCTTCAGATGCCTCAGATTCCAGGGAGGCTCACCTGAGGGGGCCCTTAAGCACTAGGGTGGGAGGCTGTAAGGAAGGGAGCCTGAAGCCCTCTCCTGCTCTTTTCCCAAGGAAGTAAGCTGCTTTAGGACTCTGTTGGAGGGGACTCGGGGTATGCCTTTGCCTCTCCAGCCACCCATAAACCCCTGGCACTTCCATGGCAGACATTAAAATTCCAGAGCCTTCCCTACCTTTGGTGGCTCTGTAGAAGTACAGCTTTGGGAAACACCCCTTTCCCCACAGGGCCCTGAGCTCGCAGGTCTGGTAGGGTGCTGCTGCTTGGCCGGCAGTTTAGTGTAGCCCTTCCTAAGCAGGTGAGCAGGTGAATGCCAGCCTGCAAGTCCTGGCAAAGGTCAGGTGTGCTTCTAGCCAGCGTGTTGTTTTGCTGTCCTGGCCCCTTTCATCCTGAGATTTCAAAGCCTCCAGCAAGCAGGGGCTTGTTCCACACCAGCGGCCGGTGCAGCTGGTAGCAGATGCTTCATGAGGGAAAGAGGAAGCCTAGGACTAGGATCCCAAGGCCTGTGTGACAGCCACTTAACTCTTCTGGGTCTCAGTTTCCCTGTGAGCCCAAGGAGGAGGGAGAGGGGTCTTATATCCTAGCAGCTGATATCTCTTCCATCTCTGAGTAGCTAACACTTTGCCTAATATCCCACTATCTCCACTAATCTACAGACCTCACATGCCCATGGCCCCCACAGGGTGTAAGTTGCTGTGACTATAAGCCACCATCTCTAACAGTTTCTTTTTATCTTTCCCTTCCTTCCCTTCCTTCCTTCCTTCCTTCCTTTTTTCCCTACCTCCCTCCTTCTTTCCCTTCCATCTCCTTCCCCTTCCTCCCTTTTTTTTTTGGCGGGGGGGAGGGTGCTGGTCCTGGGACTTAGGGCCTAGATGCTGCCCCTGATGACCCTGAGCTTTTTTGCACAGGCTGTCACTGTCATTTGAGCCATAGCTCCACTTTAGGCTTTTCGGTAGTTAATAGGAGATAAGAGGCTCACAGATTTTCCTGAGCTAGCTTTGAACTGTGATCCCCAGATTTCAGCCTCTTGTGTGTAGCTAGGATCATAGGCGGGAGCCACTGGCGCCTGGCTTTCTTTTTCCTTTAGCACAGGGAATTGTTTTCTTAACTTTATTCTTTTTATTTTTTTGATTTGGGGAGGGGAGAGTAGCAGAGAATAACCCAGAGTCTCACACATTCTAGGTAAAGTGTTTTAGCTGTAGTTCTAGAGCTGTGCCCCATCCTAGTCCCTTTGTTTTGTGTGTGTGTGTGTGTGTGTGTGTGTGTGTGTGTGTAATAGTAGTAGTATAGTAGTAGTAGTAGCAGTAATAGCAGCTGGGATTACAGCTGTGACACAGGCACCCAACTGTATTTTTTTGTTTTTGAAGGAAGGTCTAACTTAATCCAGGGCTAGCCTTGAACTCAGATTCTCAAGCATTTTACTCTAGGAAGCTGGGATTACAGACATAAACCATTACTCAGGGTACCTTGTTCTTATTTGTAAAATGGGAATTTTAACTGTAAACTGGTAGCTACTGACGTAATGTGGCTTAGGTGCTCAGTCCAATGCTTGGCAAACAATTACTATTGTTAGGAGATTGTCCTTGAGTTTCTTTAATTGTGTTCTCTGCAGCTGCCTAGTGACTAGTGTTTGGAGGGGCAATGACCTTGGTGATTTCTCCAAGGTTTGTCCAGTCCCAAGAGTCAAGTTGGCTGGTTCCCTGGATTTGGGAATCCCGCTGGGTTTTCAGAAGTCTTGATTACCTCGTTCCTTCTTCTGCCTTGGCAACCATGTGAAATGATGTGGGCTATCTGGATCCAATCCAGAGTACAGTGATGGGGGGAGAATGGAAGGAACTAGGACTTGGACAGGTGGCTGGGTTGGGCCAGCCTGTCCCTTCCTTCCTTGTGATCCTGGGGACTGGACTAGGAGGAAAGAGTGTGTCTGGGCCTTTATTTGGGTTCTGAGCCCTTTGAGGGATTCTATACAAATGATGTGAACCACAAACCAGATGCTAGAGGGGTGGGGGGGAGTGCTCTGCTGATGGCAAGAAAGCTGCATTGGCAGGGTGGGGAAGTCCCCTGATCTGTAGGACTACCTCAGTTATTACACTTGCCCCCCACCTCCCACATACCATTCGCCCCCACATACTGCTGTAAGGTGTGCTGCATGAGGGACCTGGCTGCCTTCCCAACACCTGTGCTTCTCTGTGCTCCGCCCTCCTGTGGGGCTCACCTTTCCCATGGCTAGGTGCATGTGTGTGCATGCACGCGTGCACGCACATGCGTGCACGCACATGCACCAGTACTGGTGTTAGGAAATTGGAGGAGAAAGGAAAAATAGACTGGACTTGATTCTCAGCAGGCTAAGACTGTTTATTGAAGAGCAATGTGGGTCACTTCCCATGGATATGGAGGTTGTGCAAAGAGGTGTGGTTGGAGTTGGGTTTTTATGGGGTCTGAGCAAGGAGGCAGAGGTTAATGAAAAAGCCATTAGGTCTAGGGAGGTGGGGGCTTTCAGATGGGCCCAGAACAGAAAGTTTACAGCCAGGCTTAGGTGGATTGCTCTGCTGGTGTCAAGCAGTCTGCACATATCTGGTGGCTTGCCTGATGTCTGTATGTACCTGGGAAAATAGAGTGGGAGCCAATCCTACATATCCAGTCTTTGTATACGTAAAACAATTGGGCCAAGAGGGGAGAGGCAAGTCCTTCAACTGGAGCTTGAACTCAGATCTCTCATTCTTATTTGGCTTTTTTCCCCTCAAGGCTGATGCTCTACTACTTGAGCCATAATTTGAGATAGGAGTCTCATGATTTTCCCATATGGGCTGGCTTTCAACCATAATCCTGAGATCTTGGCCTCCACTGAGTAACTAGAATTACAAGTGTGAGCCACTGGCATCCAGCTTTTTTTTTTTTTTTTTGTGCTGCCCTGGGGCTTGAACTCAGGGGTGTGGGCTCTGTCCCTGAGCTCTTTTGAGCAAGGCTGGCACTCTACCAATTGAGCTACAGTTCTACTTCTAGCTTTTTTGGGTGGTTACTTGGTGATAAGAGTCTCATAGACCCTCAGATCTCAGTCTTCTGAGTAGCTGGGATTACAGGTGTGAGCTCCCTGCCTGGTGGCTTTTAGTGGTTGTGCAACCATCACCACACTCAATCTGGGGATATTTTTACCCCCTGGAATAAACTCTGTAGTCTGCACTAGACATTTTTGTTTCTCCCCAGTCTT